ATGGATGGATGGATGTTAAGATGGATGGTTAAAATGATGGATGGATGGATGGATGGATGGATGGATGGATGGATGGATGGATGGATGGATGGATGGATGGATGGATGGATGGATTTTTAAAAGGATGGATGGATGGATTGATTGATTGATGGATGGATGTTTAAACAGATGGATGGATGGATGGATGGATGGATGGATGGATGGATGGATGGATGGATGGATGGATGGATGGATGTTAAAATGGATGGTTAAAATGATGGATGGGTGGATGGAGGAATAGATGGATGGATGAATGGATGGATAGATGGATGGTTAAAAGGATGGATGGATGGATGGATGGATGGTTAAAAGGATGGATGGATGGATGGATGGATGGATGGATGGATGGATGGATGGATATTTAAAAGGATTAATGGATGATGGATGGATGATGGATGGATGGATGGATAGATGATGGATGGATGGATGGTTAAAAGGATGGATGGATGATGGATGGATGATGGATGGATGGATGGTTAAAAGGATGGATGAATGGATGGATGGATGGGAATCATGGAAGAGTTGTTCAGGATTTAGTATTCTGCTGATTTTGACATGCTTGTACATATTTACACTCAGATTTGTTGGGTGATGGATGCAGATAAAAATGTTTTGTTTACATTGAGCGCATACCCCCATTTCAGAATTGCAATCAATTCATTTAGCAAACTACTGAAGTAAATTTGTTCAAACTGCACCATCTTTTATAGCTCAGAATGTCCCCTTTTATATTGAACTTCTTAGTTTGCAATGAGCACCTTTATTATTTATTGCATGTTAATATAGATTATTTTATAGGAGCCGGAGCTTTTCAGAAAGATGCTGTGGTTGTATGGTGCTATCAGAGGATTCAGTTATTGATTTAGAGGTGACGTCTCACAAGGATAAGGTGTGCGTCGTCATCCTGGGCCCACTTAATCTGATGACAGTCAGCAGATCCTCCTCTAGATTTAACCCCTCTTTACAAAATCCTTTGTGGGTGTTTTCACTGATAAAACAAACATTTCAGCACAAAGTGGATGTTTAATGCACAGAGTGGGATGTAACTCGTGTTTCTTCACAAAGATCTCTTTAGCTTTTACTCTTAGCTCGAAATATTTTGTTGTAAAAGCATTTAATTGAATTTGTAGCTGCTGCAGATTAGATTACACGTCCATCAGTTTGTCTCCTGAGTGCTCCGAGATGCAAGAATTTTCCAATAAGGATCACGTCTTGTGTTCCTGTTTGTGCAGGTAGGAAGGCCGGTGCTGAATCCTGAAGCCTCCCTGAGTGCTTTGAGCTTTCTTTTTTTACAGGATGCAATAGGTGTCTGAGCAGTGCAGCTAGGAGATGATGGTGGGATACTTATTATAGCCCTAGCAACAGGAAGGGGATTGGCGGGTAAGGAGAGCGTGCCTGTCAGTGATTGGTTGGTGAGGAGGTTCTTTCAAAGCACAGAATTTCATTTCATGAAAGGTTCAGTGCAGCAAGCTGCAGCAGGAGGCTGCAGTCTGAGGGTGGAGGTGTGTGTGTGTGGGGGGGGAGACAGCTCAACACTTCAGCTCATCAATCCGTGCTAAGGAAAATGCACTAATTAACAAAGAAAAAGGCCCAAATTAGCTCCTCTTTTCTAAGCAGAAATGCGTTATATGTTGGGTGTTATTTTCCTACACCTCTCCCTTTAGCTGCATGTGCAAATTGTTTGATCTAATTAGTTATTAATTAGTGAGGCCCTAAAAAGAAAGCTTTATGTAGGGCGTTCTTGCTCTGCAGCTAACACACACTCTGTAGTGTTCACCCACAAACAGGTTCACACTAATACAAGTATTCACTATCGATAGACCTATTGCTCAATGCCAAAACCAGCTAAATATTATAAAATTTATTATATATTTATAATTACAAAGCCCAAAATGTGTCCAAACGACTGCTTTAAAAGGGATCTCTGATTAGTTGTAACA